CTATATCCCTATCCCTATTCCATATCCCTATTACATACTACGTACCACACACTACATACAACTAACAAACTACTCACAACACCACACCAAATTAAAATCCAGAAAATACCTTCCTCCCTCCTATTCCCATTCCCATACCCAACTAACATCCACCCCCCACCTAGGCATCCTCAACATTCCACACCTCCCGCTCTTCTCATTCTAAGCACTCATTCCCTCACTGATTTCCTCACTCATTCAAGTTCTGTTTTTCACTAAAACTTCTCTTTGATATTTCCTCTAGTTATGGTTTGTGTTAGGTATCTTAACTTCTCAATCCTAATCCCAATTCTTTTCCTTCATCTGATGTTCTTCATTTGTGTATTATGGTAGTGATGTTATATTGTTATGATATTAAGTGTATTCAATCTAATCCAATCCGTTATCCCCATCTCCTATCTACCATCTCCATCTCCGTTTTCTATCCACCATCCCCATCTCTATCTTCATCCCCATCTCCTATCCTCCATCCCTATCTCAATCCCAATCTCCATCCTATCTCCTCACCACTCACTCCTCACCCCCCATCCACAAACCCCACCCCTCAAATCCTCATCACACCACCCTACCACCCTTCAGCTACTAAAACCCCCCCAACTGCCTATACCCCCAACTCCTCCACTTCTCCATTCCTCCACTCCTTCTCCACTCCTTACTCCTCACTCCTCACTCCTCACTTCTCAATCAATATAAACACATCATATCATATTACCCACTATCCATTACTCATCACCCAGCCCTCTACACATCCCTCCCTTCCCTTCCCTTCCCTTCCCTTCCCTTCTCTTTAAAATCTACAACTACCTATTAACTTTGTTTATCTCCACAAAGAAATTAACAAACAAAAGATTATAAATATAAGTACAAATATTCTATAATATTTCCCATTTCCCATTTCCCATTTCCCATTTCCCATTTCCCATTTCCCATTTCCCATTTCCCATTTCCCACTTCCACTTCCCTTTCCTACTTCCATCCTCCATCTATCCTTCACCTATAATTCAACAGACTACATACTACCAAACCATACCATACCACACCACATCACATCACATCAAGCTACCTACCTACCTACCTACCTACCTACCTACCTACCTACCTATCTACCTACCTACCTACCTACCTACCTACTATACTTCACAATCCCATCAAAGCCAAAAGTTATAAACAACAACACAAAGACGAAATTCCAAACATCCTCTATAAAATATAAAAACCTCAAAAAGTCAGAAAGGCGGATTATTCTCGACACAGATTATTCTCGACACAGAAAGAGATGTAGAAATCAACATCTAATACTATCTATACACACGTTAGGTATACGTATTCAACAATTGCAATTCCAATTGCAATTTCAATTCCAATAATAGAAAGGTTAATTTAACTGTTCATTTACATACCGCTGGGTTTATTCATCTATATATATATGTGTGTGTGTGTGTGTGTGTGTATGTATATCTTTCCTCCAGTATAGTATGTTGAAAATTGAGCTATTGAGTCACTCACCCTCTAGCCTCAATACGTACATACAATCAATCCCTTGACCACCGTGGACTTTCCACTTCGAACTCCATATATCAAAACATCAAACTTGTTCTAACATTTGATCCAAGAGAGATTTCACACCAAAAATGAAAATCAATCATGGTAGATTCAAATGAACTCCCTCCTTATAGAGCATCTTACTTCTTCATATCCAAACCTACCCGACAGTCTAAAAACCACACATCTACCCTCCCCCATCCAACACCCCACTACCTCCTATCCAACCTATCATGCAAAACATTTTGTTTCATCAAACTCCCCACCCCAGCCATTAAGATCGCAAAACCTAGTGCCGTCAAGAACACCCCCCTAAAAGCATCCATAAAACTTTCCGTCACACCCTCTTTCCACCCCTCAGGAAGTTTATTCAAATCATCGAAAGAATCTCGAATCCTCCCAATAATCTCTTCCGCATTCGGTCTGTCTCCGAATTTCTCCCACAGATCTGATTTGAGTATATTTTGATACACTGCGCTTGCAATGGTAATACCAATTGTTGAGCCCGTGGAACGGAATGCATAGGAAGCTGATGTGATGACCGAGTGATGATCATGAGATACTGCTGAGATGATAGCTAGAAGTGTAGTTGTGAGAGTTGCGCCGTAGCCAATTCCTGTCAAGGAGAGATAGATATATATTGGCCAATCCGGACTGTTAGAATCGAGAGTTGCTAGAAGACCGGTTCCAATAACGAGCATGGTAAGTGTTATCAAACTAATTGATTTATATTTTCCAGTTCGATTCATGATGATTCCGGAGCCAAGAGATCCGACAGAAGCTCCGATTGATTGAGGAATAAGACGCATACCAGAGGCGGTGGTAGATTCACCCCGGACTTGATAATATAACGGAACGTAAAAGATAATCATAAAGACGACCATTGTAACGAACCAATTTGTAAGACAAGCGGCGAGAACAGTACGATTTGCGAGGAGACGAACTGGGATGACGGGTTCCGAGGCGATATATAGTTCGATGTATATAAATCCAAGAAGAGAAACGAGAGAAAGGGGGAGCGAGACATAGACGAGTGGATGATTCCAAGGTACGATATTACCACCAGAATTGAGTCCCAGGAGGAGAAGGACAAGGGTAAGAACCAGCGCGAAAGAACCCATAAAATCCACTCTCGATAATTTCGATTTCTCGCTCTTCTTGGGAGGAATATTAACCAGACAAGTGACCAAAATTCCAGAAACAATGATAAAAGGAACTTGAGCCAAAAAAGCCATTCTCCATCCCCAAGTATCATTTACCCAACCTCCAAAGATCCCTCCCAAGCCCGCACCTGTCCCATAACATATATTTCCGATTCCCTGCACCACACCTCTCTTCCTCAACGGAACCAAATCACTTCCTACAAAAGTACTTATCGCCATCAACCCACCCCCTCCACATCCTGCCACCACTCTCCCAAATATCATCACCCATTCGTTTTTCGCTAATCCGCATATCAAATTACCTACCGCAAATAATACATTGCTCACAATCAATCCAGTCCTCCGACTGAAGATATCTGTGAGGCGACCAGAAAGCGGTTGACAAGCTGCATTTGCGATGAGATATGCAGAGGCGAGCCAGGAAAGAAGAGAGAGGGAATTAAAGGATGTGGAGATGCTGGCGGAGAGGGTAGCGATGACTGTTGAATCTAGAGCACCGAGGAAGACACCTACCCAGATTGCTCCAAGAGTTACTACTAAACGTTTGGTGCTTTGTTCGTTGGGGATGATTGTTGCTTCGGATGTGGAAGGGTCTTGGATTGCAGATTCAGATGGTGGTGATTGGGAGGGTAAAGTTGTGGTATCTGCGAGGAGGGGTGTTTCTTCATCCAAGTGGTTGGGTGAAGACATTTTTGCGTGGGTGAAAAAGTCGTGTACCGTTGATTTCTTGGTTATATATCTATATCTATTGATGTATCATTGCAGCATGAAGATCGAATGAGAATGAAAAGGACAATACATCGAACTATATATTGCCCAAAAAATATGTAGATACAGCAGAAAGGGAAATAAAGATTGATATTTTGTGGATAATATTCCGAGATACCTTATCATAAATCACGCAAACAATCAATCAATTACTCACCGACACGCACGTTAAAAAGTTAAGTTCATCTGGCATCTGATTGATAGCTGATGGAACTTCTTTCCCATGCGTTTTGTAATAACTCTCTCGTATAAAATACCACGTTGGCGATGATAACCATTTGGTGGAATTGTGGATAATGGAAGATACTAGATAGATAGAGGAAGTCCGTTGTCCTCGTCATTATTCCAATGTTTGATGGCACGAATGTTGATGGTTGAATTCGGATACCGGCATATACACTCGTAGATATTTGGGAATAATTTGAATAAATATATATTATTGAGGCCGATACTAGGTAGTTATCCGTATAAACCAAGTAGACTATTTGTATAAAATATACGAAATATACGAATTATACAAAATATACAAAATGTACGAAATATACGAAATGTATGCGAGATGTTCATTGATAACTTATGGTTTTAAATAAATTGATTGTACATCCAAATTCATATATTTGGTGATTCATAGGTAAGATTACCTAATCATTCATCCCTCACTTACGAACTAGGTATCCACTCATCCATCACCTCACGCAGCCTTCACAAAGCAAGTCTCAGCCTTCTCTTTAAACCCAAGCTTCATTGGTTGCCCAGCCACACAAATTGTTGATTGATTTCTACTGTGGTTCCAAGTTACTTAAAATAAACAATCCTCTCCCATACCCAGCTCTTCAACTCACTTGATTCGTCCAAACCCATCGAAACCAAGGAGCAACCAAGTTTCCAAAAGCAAGATTTCATAAGAGAAGAAAAAAAAAGGCTGAGCCGTTCTTATTATATTGTATTACAAAGGGTACGTACGAATGAGTGAGGAATACGCGTATGAAGTTGATGAGCCTCTTTTCTTCGTATGATTTAGAGTTTGCGTTGATTCATTCGCTTTGATGGTCTTGACATTTGACATCTCTATTGTTTCTGTTGTTTCTGCTGTTTCCGTGTCGTTTCCATCCTTTCCCTCCATTTTGACTTTCGGTGCTTGACGATTTGTGAATATCATAACGTTACCCGCCCGCACACCTACCACACACATACCAAGCAAATATCAGACAGTCTCCAAGGTTTTACCTTCAGCCCCTCAGAATCAGAAATATACGAGTACGCACTCGATACGAGATTCAGAATACCACCATTCCATACCTATCTAGGTGATCTGAGTACACTTGGGGAAAAAACATCCACAACTTGAGCATTTGAGCATACACGTCGCATTTGAGCATTCACGTCGCATTTGAGCATTCACTTTCGCATTTGAGCATTCACGTCGCATTTGACTGTACACTTTCCATACCGTCATTCCAAAAATCCAGCATTCAATAAACCGACAACATGGAATTCTCAATACATAATTTGCAGAAATATAAACTAGCTGTACATATCGTACAGTTAGCTATGGCAGTTGTCATATGGGTGTTAGATATCATCGTTATGCGATCAACTGCAACAGTAGATGGAAGACTTGGATGGAACTTTGGTTATGTATGTATATTTTCATTCCGCAGATGCGATGAGGGACTCGTACTGATAATGAATCCAATAGACATTCTTGGTTTTACCCGCAGTGATCTATCTTACCATGACCGTACGCTTTCCCCGGACGAGAAAATTCGCAAACCCGTATGCGCTGTTGGTGATTGATCTCGTTTGGTGTGTGATGGCTCTGTCGGCTTTTGCAGCGGTCGCAAATTGGAATTCAACCGGGAAATGTGGAAGTGGGTGTAAAGTGAGCAAGGCAGTTGTGGGATTAGGTGTTTTCTTATGGTTTGTCTCGGTTCTCCTGATTCGCATGATTGGAATTCTCAACAGTACGTTTCTAATCTCAAACCACAGGCTCTTCTGGATTCTCTCAACAGCAATGTCATTCTATGGTCTAGTGTACTACAAGAGAGAAGGATATCTTCCCGGCGCATCCCGAGCTCCTAACAACGCAGCCATGATCGATCCCGATAAAGAAGCTTTCTCCACCGCTCCCCACGATGACGAATATGCACCAGTTCATAATGTCGAAGAGCACGAAGAGCATGAATTACACGATGATGGATATCCCGGCGGAAACTTTGTAGGCAGAGTTCACTCACCAGATTACGAACCTTCGAGTTACGGAGGATCATATGCACCTACATCGACGGCTCATCATGATGATTTGGAAGCTTCAACCGCGTATACCGGATACAGTGCGAGTGGATATGGCGGATCACAAAATTCGAGGACGGGGCGAGCGCAGTTTCCCGAGGGAAATTATGGTAATATTCCAGTCATTGGTGAACCATGAGAAACTTGATTATTCAAGAATAATTGAGTAATACATTATACATTATACATGAACGGATAAATGGATGGATGGCACATGATAGATGATTTCACATTGGCGTTTCTGGTTTTCTCCTGTTATGGTTTCGATACCAATGGATCCCGTTTGAAAGTCTCTGTATATCGTGTCGGATTGGTAGATGGATTGGTTGGGAAAGAAACAACATACAGGTACATGTGAATGAGTGCATTTAGCGTATATCACATGTACCAGATGGTATGAGAACAACACAAGTTCATCGGGAGGAGACATGACTTGCATATGTATCTTCGGGGGTTTTAGGAGCAATTGGTGGAGGACTTTACTTGGCATCAGCATGGGTTAGGATGAGAATGAGTATGAGGAACGACGGAATATGATTGAAGGATGATTCGGAACATTTGTTATATAGAAATATATTTGCAGAAGACAATGAAAGGGAAATTGAAATGTGTTGTTGAGATGTTGTGAGGTACTATCTAGTTAGTAGCTATGCGTAAGTATCTAGGCTAGGTAGACTAATGGATAAAGTACCCGACCCCTTCACGAGACCTCACGCTCTTTGTTTAATACCAGATGGGTAAGAATCGTAAGTGAGATGTGAGGAGTAAAGAGTGAGGAGTGAGGAGTAAAGAGTGAGAAGTAAAGAGTGAGAAGTGAGGAGTGAGAAGTAAAGAGTGAGTTTATCCACGGGCCGATGATACATACAGGTGAATTAGATTGGTGCCCGATGATATAATATAATATAATATGTGTGAGTAACATATTAATAGTAAGTAGATGGACAAATTTGATTGAAGGGAGGAAAAAGGGAGGGGAGAAGGAAAGAAAGAAGAGAAGAAGGAAGAGTTTGGTAATCGAATGGGAATTGGTTGGGAGGATATGATATGTGGATGGATGGCTGGATGGAGGGATGGATGGAGGGTAATATATAGAATTGTAGATATTGGGTACTAGGTAGGTATGAACTCTTAAGTTAGCTATTAAGAGATAAATAGCTAGATAGCTGTATATATGTATAAATGTATATATAGAGAGATAACAGATAGAATATAAATTCTAATAAGTGGTTAGAGAGATTTATGTTTATGGTTTTGCTTGCTTGTTTACTTGCTTGCTTGCTCTTCTCAGACTCTTTATCTAGGTAGTAATAGAGTAAGTACTCTCTATGGTACAGATGCGATACTTCCTCAACCGCTTGGTTTATTGGAGGGGTATATTGTGTGTCTATTACACATCCTATATTATATATTATATATCATACATCCTACGAGCCTACATCACACATCCATCATACGAAAAAATATAGGAATCACAAATAAAATCCAATCCAATATCACCATGCGAAAGGAAACGAAACGAAACGAACTTGGAGTAATACATACATACATACCTATTACTACTTCGTACCTAAGAAGTGGTATTAGTAACACAAAGCCCCACTCTCATACATCGATATCATCGATATCATCGATATCGATACTGTAATTGGTGATCTTGGTCTCACGAATGTCATACTGCATGAAACGAACGAGAAACGAACGAGAAGGTGGGAGGGTGTGAAATGGCGGGGTTACACGGGTTGCATGTGTACTAGGAGATTGGCTGGGTAGGTAGGCGTGAGGTAGGTAGCTACTAGCTAGGTAGGTTGTGGAGAGGAGGAATGCATGAGAGATGAGAGATGATAGGTAGTAGTGATGGTAATGGCTTTTTGATGGCTGGATGGCTGGATGGCTGGATGGTTGGATGGATTGGATGGGATGGATTGGATGGCACCCCACCAATCCAACATTTGTGGTTGAGTGAATGAATGGATGGATGGATGAATGAATGAATGAATGACTTCTTTCTCATCCCACCTTCTTTCTGTTCTGTTTTGTTTTCTTGTTCTTTCTCTGTTGTTGAATTTGAATTTGACTTTGAATTTGTTTAAAGGAAAGAAGTAAGACGAATACTTTACTTTACTTTACTTTATTTACCAAAGACTTCACAACACCACATATTACCTGGTTCTCTTGATTATTCATTGAGATACTTACACAACACCTACAACACGAGAATATCTTCATCCATCAAGATTTCAATACAACAATATCACTTCCAAATAGCAAAAATGGCACCAGTTAGTTTTTCCCTTTTTTGCTCGTCTCATCTTCCCCTGTTATGTCACATATACATATACATACACACATATACATATACATACACACATATACATATATATATACATATACACATCTCCCCCTCACCCCATCACCCTCTACCCCGCACCAACTAACACCCCACCCTAGATAACCACTCTCCTCTTCGACTGCGACAACACACTCGTACTCTCTGAATCCCTCGCCTTCGAAGCCTGCGCCGATCTCGCCAATGAAATTCTCGAAGCCCGCGGCATCAGCGACCGCTACACGGGTCCCCAACTGCTCTCTGAATTCGTGGGGCAGAATTTCCGCGGCATGATCAGCAGTCTCAAAAGCAAATACAACTATTCGATGAGCGATGCGGAACTCGAGGGGTACGTGAGCAAGGAAGAAGACAAGGTGATTGCGAAGCTCCAGGCGGCGTTGCAGCCGTGCGAGGGGGTGGATGAGGAATTGGTGCGGCTGGAGAAAGATGGGGGGTATTTGATGGCGGTGGTGAGTTCGAGTGCGTTGCGCCGATTGAAGGCGAGTGTGGAGAAGGTGGACCAGGCGAAGTATTTTGGAGATCGCATCTATAGCGCTGCGACGTCGTTGGAGAAGCCGACGAGTAAACCGGATCCGGCGGTGTATTTGCACGCGATGGAGAAGTTGGGGGTCAAGCCGACAGAGTGTGTGGCGATTGAGGATAGTAGGAGTGGTGCGACGGCGGCGGTGAGGGCGGGGATTTATACGGTGGGATATGTGGGGAGTTATGAGGAGGGCGAACGCAAGGAGATGGAGGAGGTGTTGAGGAAAGCTGGGTGTAAGGTTTTGATGAGGGAGTGGAGGGAGTTTAAGGGGATTTTGGAGAAGATTCAAGAGGGGGGATTGGAGAATTAGATGAGGGTGCGTTGGGTGGTGGGGAGAGGATGCTTGGGAATAGGCTTTGAGATGTTCGATGTGAGAGGAGAGGAGAGGAGAAGAGAAGAGAAAGATGAGAGATGAGAGATTAGTATTTCTTTACACCAAAAATTTCCCTAGAGGGAAGAAACAAAGTATCACCTAAAGTTTTTGAAAGACCAAAAAAGAGATCGAGAATAGGAGATATGATTACGCTGCGTAGTTTATCAATGACATGAATTTCCAATATTATTATCATCATTACATTTACCTACCTAGATACCTAGCTACTAGGTACTTCTTTAACTTCCTCATCCTGATCTGAGAATTCCGATCCCCCTTATTTTTCCTATTATTCTTTCCCTTTCTCTCTTCCCTCTCTTCTCTTCTTCATTCATTCTTTCCCTCCCTCCTTACTTTTTTTCTTTCTTCTTTTTTTTTTCTTCTTCTTTTTCTTCTTTTTCTTTTTCTTCTTTTTTTTCTTCTTTTCTTTTTCTTCTTCAATATAGAAAAGAGAGTAAATATATATTAAAGAGGATAAAAAGCTTAATTATATTTCCTATAAAAGATTAAAGCTATTTAAGGTACTAGAAAGCTAAAAACCACGCTAGAGGAGGCTGTAGTATTTACTTTAGTATCTAATATATAATAAATATTTCTTTTACTATATTCCAAAACTCATATATCGGATTTTATAGAATTTTTATAGGGCGTATATTGATTATATTTTCTATATCTATATCTATGAATTCAATTTATATGTAATTATATAATTTGTATATAGTTATATGATTTATATATAGTTATATAATTTATATAATTTATATACAAGTATAATTATTATTATAATCAATTCGTGTAAGGGCTGGCGAAGGCACGTGAATAGGCCCTGCGGGGCTACTTCGAACCGACACCAACCCACACACAATTATAAATTGTAGAATTTTCATAGTTTAGAAGAATTAATAAAAAATCTTTGTGCTACATTACACCTAGTTAATTCATTGCTATTATTTATTCTAATAGTTATATAATATCTTTTATTATAACTTTAATTAGGTATCTAGAAATAAAGACTAATAAGCTTTACTTTTACTTTTAATCTTTTAATATCAATCTTTCGATATTAATCTCTCGAGATTAATCTTACGAGATTAATAGCTTATTATTAAATATTTCGAAACACTAGCGAGATCCATGGATGATAAATATCTCTCTCGCTGATATCTTACTGATATCTCGTTGTAAGGTACGAGTAGGTAAGATTAGTTCTTTTTTAATCTAGAACTTAGAAGCTTAGAAGCTTATATTTTATATTTATCTATACGTAGGTATACATAGGTATCTACTCATTATCAGTTAGTGGAAACTTGGTTGCAGCTGTGAGTTAGGGTTAGAGTTGGGAATGAGAGAGTTGGGGATGTGGATAGAAAAGAAAATAAGGGATAGGGAATAGATGATTTGAGATGAAAAGGAATAGATTGCGGATGAGGGTTAGGAGGGGTGTGGGATCTTGGGTTGGTGATGATGATGAGATGGAGAAGGATGGGGAAGAGAGAGTTGGTTGGTGGAGAGGGGGGTGGGGGGAGATATTGGGTGGGTGATTGTGTGGTTGGGGAGGGGTTGAGGATAAGAAGAAGAGATGAGGAGAAGGAGAAGGAGGAGATGGGACGGGGGAGAAAGAGATGGGTAAGGAGAGTAAGGAGATAAGCTGACTTGAAGAGAAGATTAGTCAAGGAAAAGTCTACTTTTGCTGAGAAGGTAAAGAGGATGAGATGGAGATGGAGGTGAAAGTGAGAGTGAAAGTGTGAAACTTAGAGGGTATGAAGAGTAAATAAGTTTCTAAGTAAATAGAGAAGATGAAATGAAGAGTTTGTGATGAAAAAGAGAATGAGGGCGAGCATATGAGTTAAGTATAATTAGGATGCATGCATGTCAATGTATGATTATTTCAATATCTCATTAGGTACTATGTATGTATTCATAATAATACTTTGTTTTTACATTTTATTTTTAATCTTTTTTTGTGTTTTATTTGGTTTATAGAAAATCAAAAACTAAATCCGCTATTCCTGAACCTCCACTCTAGCCAGTGGATAAGAGACAAGTAGACCAGAAAGGAAAGCGAAAACAATGCTTCAGAGTACAAAATCTCTCGAGCCTATAAAGTAGAAGAGAAAATAGAAACCTATAACCGCAGCCCACTGCGTCCCGCAAACGCCATCCCAATGAATCTCCCAATGAATATCCCATGAATGTCCCTCCATATCGCCTGGGTATCTATCTATAAAACCGCACACCAAACTCCACCAATCCCTCTCGCATAACCCAAAGACCTCTATAACCTAAAGATCTCTGAGCGCGCGCAAATCCTCAACCTGCTTCATCAATGCCTCGTTTTGCATTTTGAGGACACTATTCTGAAGTTCGGTGACTTCTCTCCGCAAAGTCGCAAGTACCTCTGCGTTATTCACAGTGGCATGATCCGCAGTCTTGTTTCCTGCTTCCACACTTTGCTGAATGAGGCGATTGATGTGTTCATCATTAATCTGGGATGGATCGGGTCGTTCAAGCGCCACCTTGGTCATATCAACGTAAAACGCAAATTGGGTGGAAGCTTGTGCATTGAGTGTGCGGATTTCCTTGCGCAATTCTGTGTTTTTGTCGGATTGCTCTTTGGTTGTTTGTTTTAATGTTTCTACGTCGTCAATTAAAAATGGGAGTTCGATGGAATAGTCACTCTTTCGGGTGGCAAGATCCTCAAAAAATTTGCCGTGTCTTGTTAATATTTGTTGAATTTGGTGACCTCTTACATCTTGATCGAGGGTTGCTGACTGGCTGTGATTTTCATCGTCATCGTTGTCACTGGGATGATATGAGACCACTGATTCATTGTCGAAATTATCAGGGGCCTCGATGGATTGTCGAGGAGTATCTTCAGCAAGAGTGGCGGAATCTGTCGATTGTCTGTCGATTGGATCTTCTTCTTGGGGGGATGCGACGGGAGAGTTTTCATTCGAGTTTTGGTTCTCTGCGTCATGAGTAGAGTCCTCTGATAAAGCAGGAGAAGGAGCATACGAAGAGAGGATCAAAGGATCAACAGTATCCGAATCAACGGAGCCATGTCGGGCCTCGAGGGAGTGAAAAACTTCGGCGCGAATGGTACGCTGTGGTGATGGGCTCAAAATATTGCCATGGTTAACATTGTTTTGAGGCTCCATGGAATAATTATTGTTCGAGCTAGGTGATGATTCGTGAGATTTGAAACCAGTGAATAGAGTGGCAAGTGGCGGAAGTTGCATAGAGGTTTGTGGGCGATATCTGTAATTGGGAGCAACAGCGGAATTGCGTGAACTGGTGCCACGAGTAAGAGTAGAGACCGGCTTCTGTTGAATTACCAAACCAGGTGTGCCTGAATAATTGGGTCCATACGCCGTCTCAGTAGTAGCGTATTCAACCTCATATGGGAATGTTGCTAGAGGTCTGTTGTTATACTCATCGGCAGCACGTCCTCTCGGTGTTGAAGGTGCTTCTTGGTAAACCATTCCAGCATAGATATCCGAGTTTGCGGGAGTTCTAGAATTGTTCATCTCAACATATCCATGAGCAGGAGTGAAGCTGCGGTTGCCACTGGGGTAGACTCTATTGCGAGAATCTTGAAGTGTCTGGCTTGCTGACCCAGCAGTGGTCTCATTGTAAAGTCCGAACGGTCGTGTTACACTATACTCACGTCTCTTAGAAGGTGGTGCAAAGAAATCATCATCTTCCTCTTCGAATGTTCGCTTTCTGCTAGAAACCTTTGAATGTATCCATGAAAAATTCGAGTTGTTCATGCTTCCCTGCTTTTGGAGTAAATCACTTGCAATGCTTGGAAGCATGGGTTGTCGTGATTGCATTGCAAAGGAGTTTTGTGGTCTGGCACTATAAGAAGTAAAGTGTTCCCGATAATGCATTCCCAGAGATTGATAATCGGGGAGAAAAGAAGGGCCCAATGTTGGGGTTTGGAGTTGGGGTTGATAGTGAGCATAAAGGGCGCTTGGGGGATTGGAAGAGCTTGGGTTAAAGTTTGAGCTTCTGGGCGCAGCTTCAGCAGAGCGTGGATTGTTAAAGTCTACGGGAGCAAAGCCTGGGCTTGCAGGAGTATATTCAGGAGATGAGCTCAATTGGCGTTCAGGTCCTGGTCTTGCCATAGCTGTAAGTGGTTTTCTTGAGGTGGTAGTTCGTTGCCATGGCCAAGAGCGACCTGTTGGCTTTCCACGAGACATTCCGGGAATTGGAGCAGCGGTCTAAATACTATTAGCTTCAAATGTTTGAGGAATCAAGGAGAGATAAACTTACACTGGTTACAGAGACATTGTCTGGTACATCTTCAGAGCCATCTCTCTCACCTAGGATTGGGCTTCTGGCGGTAAAGTAATTTTTCGCATACGCGAAGTTTCTCTGGCCAAGAACAGGGCTTGAGACTTTTTGGTTTGTGTATGACATCTTAGCTGTAGCTATAAATGACAAGTGATCTATTGATTTGTTTGGTCGCTTCGTGGCTAATTTGTACAATACGAAGTGACGTATGTAAATCTGTGTGGGAGAGGATTAGCTTTGCGATATGTGGAAGCAAATAGAGAATCGACTTTGAAAGATTATATGGAAGATTTGATTTTGGATATCGAGGAAGCAAGAGTGCTGGGATGGAAAGATAATACTTACAAGTGAACCTGAGTGTCTCTTAGAGAACTCTGGTTATTACGGTATTCGGACGAAGTTGTAGTAGATATCCTAAACTTAAGTACTCTCAAAGAGCTTTAGTTATGATGATATCTAGAAAACGGTTGTAGTAGATGATGTTAGATGTTGTTGTGTGTGAAAGAGGTTGTTGTTGAATCTCTGTCAAGAAAGTTGTCGAAAAGTTGGAGAGCTTAAGAAGTTGAAGTAGTTGAAGAAGTTTTTTCAAGAGTTGAATAGCAGAAAAGTAGAAGAGGATGATCTTAATAACTAAACTCAAAACTCGTCTACTAGTACTAGTACAGTAGTACTACAGGTATCTAGCGTCAAGTGTCAATGTTTTCAATTCACTTGGCGGAATATGGCGGAATTTGAATAGTTGTAGATAGAAATGAATTTGTAGGAATATAAGGTTTGGTAGTAGAATGTTGGAAGTTTGGTAATGTTGGAAGTTGAGTAGTGTCAGTATGTGAAATCTTACTGAAAGTATTTTGTAATTTTGAGAAACCAGCGTGTAAGTTGAAAAACTATATAGGGAAGTTTCATAATCGTAATACAGTCAAAAGCCGCTAGTGTTCGCTAGATGTACTGGTCGACCGTAGGTACTATGGTTCAGAAATGTTATTCATCATAGTACGGTGAATGGTACGGCGATTAAAATGGTTCATGTACTGGCGAGACTCACTTGATTGGTGGAAGACCGTCCATGTAGAGCGACGGTTGGGGAGTATACCCTTTTCCTAGAAAGGATTGGGCATTGGACTATACATCATCACCATGACAGGACAAAAGAGACGATTTCCTGCCTCCGCACATGTGCAAATAATATGAAGTTCTTTGCCATAAAGAGTCATACTCTGGTCAATCGTATTGTCTGAAATGTGCTTAGGACTTTGTAAGCTTTTGTTCATTATGGATTCACGAATTCACCTCAGATATTAAAACACCATGCCAATTACTGTCCGACACTGAATTTATATGGGAAGCCAGGATCTGAGAAGATATATCTCCATATTGATTGTGGATTCGAACAACACCCTCTACAGCTGAAATGGTAGATTGAATCAATCGATCAATATTTCGAGTCCAATCTTGAATGAGCATGGCCAAGAACCTCTGGCTCAATGAAGAGAGAATATATGCAAGAATTGTATAACAAATAGATAGACATATTGGGATATATCATCAAGACATACATAACTCCAATCACCCATCGAACCTATCCATGTCGTTGCAATGTGGATATGTGGCTTTTTCTGTCTGGGATGTGAATCGCAACATAGATTCTCGTCATCCAATGAAATGATTTCCATGTGACTAAAAAGCATTTGTTGCACGTCTCAAAAGCAGGGTGCTTACTTTCGAGTTTCAATGTCAATGTCAATGTCAATTTTGTGATTAATAAGTTTTATTCCAGACCAGCTTCAGATGATATTATATTGCTTTTTATTCACTTTTCTTCATCTCGAGAATTCCTTCAACCTTCATTCCTCTCTCTATAGCCTTTTCTCCTATTTCCCATAATTCCTCGCCTTGAGTCCACATTCTGGTGTGTCTCCAAGATTTGTTACTCCTGCCCCTTTATGATGTCTTTTCTCGTTAATTATCTTCAGTTGCCTGATCTCCTCTGCCCTGTATATTGAATTAGTTATTACCCGAATCAATTATATACAACCATCCTTCGATTCGGACAAGAATTACAGAAAATTTGCATATACTTACATCCCATTGTTAACATATAGCAATCCCGAAACAAATGTCGCCATTGGGATACTAATCCAAGTCTTCTCCATCAATTTGCCGAATTTGAGAAAAGGTGTAGACATTGTTACGACGTTTTCGTATGTGGTGACGGCACAATTCTACTTTCCTTTTGGATATTTCGTTGATATTCCAATTCTCGTGAACTTTTGAACGTCGATTCCAGTCAGTAACATGAATAAAAGGTCACTGGAAGGACTACGAAGAAAACGATCAGAAGGTAATACATACAGCGAGAAATATCTATAAGCCAAAAATGTAACACCGAAAATGTTGACGACTCCTAAGAAGCCGCTGAATCTACTGCTACACATAAACTTGAAGTTCATTGAGAATTTTATGATGATTGATTGCATTCAATCTTTAATATCAAAATATGATTGTGGAGAAGTGTAAGTGTGAAATTGTACAGATGTATGTGGGAAAATGTGGAGGGAAAAATTCCCCGATTATGACGAGAATATCCAGTACTTTCGGGTATTTCAGGAGCGGGGCATTTTTAGTACAATGAATGATAGAGCTTGGTTTTTCTAACTTGCCAGATGACTTGGAGATCAATGCTTGGCGTTGCTTGTATTCCAGTCTGTAGTTCTGGTTGTGATAATTTGATTGTCCAAGACAGAATACCTAAATTTATTCATTTTCGGGACTTTCTGTCTATTGAGCTTATTCTTACCTTCACAATGTACCTTAACTTCACGCTTCAGAGCCTTGGTTGTGGTGAGTGATGATTAGGATGGTGTATCAGCTTGGAATAGATTTTAGGACTATATGATTTTGTATTCAACTTTGTAGATTTTCAGATTTAGAAATAAGAACTACCTACTCGTAGGTACTGAACTATTGAGATTTTGGGCTTGCAAGCTAGTATCATACCAAAACCATAAGCCAGAAAAAATCAATGAGACCACACCATTCATTCAGTCCTATCAATCAAATTATATCATGTCGTTGATGTCACGAGATGAATACTCGACCCAAGTATTCTGGTCTACTCCAGCTTCTCTTAATTCTCATCTCTTATCATAACCACTCTTACCATCATTTATGGCTCGTCTGGCTACTCTATACCATCTTTGATTGTCACCGAAAGCCATCCCACTTCAACATTTGATCTGTATGGTGACAAAGTGAGATAGTTCAGCACAAGCTCATTGAAAGTTCTCTCTCTCAAAATTAGATCTATCTAAACCACATCATCACCATTACTCAAATCCTGGAATAATAGTACTAATATTAGATGGCTATAAGATACATCAACGAGAAAGCCTTTAGAAAAGCCCAGGAAACTCGGCTGTTCTTTCAACCAATCGAATACATCGCAATTCAAAAAGAAGGAAATACATACAAATATCAAATTATAATTCCTCCGAATATATTCAGACAATGTTACAATTCTTATGATGTTAAGGACTCTTCTACTTATTAGATTAGATCTATAATCTCTTCCTTATCTCTGAGTATATACAGAATTGATACTTTTGTATATAGATATATAAAATAGCTTTAACATTGAGAGATTGATCTTAATGTGAAAAAGTCGAGAAGTATAAAGGTAGGTAATTATCTATAATACTTAGAAAAATCTGAATTAATTATAAGATTGAGAGATATATATATATATATATATATTTGATGACATCTACACTTTCTACAAGTAACTACCTAATGCTAATTAGTAGTAAGAATAAAGAAGTCTAATAATCTTGACGACAGTAATATATATTTAGGACCTGTAGGCAACGTTTACCTAATCTCCTACGAGGTATCTTCTCCAAGATTTGAGTAAGGTTAAACATCTCGCCTAAACTTGCTTTATCTATGGAGCTTTCCCTGCCCCACCCCACCCACTCATTGAAAACTTTTGACATTTAGTAGTGAGCCCCACCAATCACATTTACTTATAACTTTTAAAACACTTCATCCTCATCAAATAGCCAGGTCGCTTAGCTCAGTTGGTTAGAGCGTGGTGCTAATATTTGTTCTGTTCATTCAGATAGGTTTGGCACGCCAAGGTCGGCGGTTCGAAACCGCCAGTGATCATTTTTGCCGTTTTTTTGGCTTCTGAGGTTTGATTACTGTAAACTTTTGGTATCTGTGAACACGCCAATCGCTCTTTGAGGTAGAATTCGCGTCGTGTATTGTAAAAATGAGACTCATTCTCCTCTGCCTTATATGCATATGGATTGTGGCAGTGTGAATGTGGCTCAACCAGCCAGCCTCACTCTGGACGGAAGAACGGGCTACCCGTGGACGTCTACGTAATCGAAAAAAGAGGTGGAATACCATCTGAAAGGACTTCAAAAATTTGAATTTCTTTTTAATATAATATTAAATGTATATAGTCTTGATTATAGATATAAAGAAAGTTCAGATTTTCATTTACTATTCTCAAATTTTAGTATTTAATTTGAAATGAACTTATAATCTATTAAAGAATTCCTTTGAAAGGGTACTCAATTTCCGCCTGTTTTTTCGCTTACGTAGAGCCAGCACTTTCAAGCCACAAAGATTTCAACAAACCTCACTTGTAAGGGCTATCCATGATCAATCCAGCATTCTAACGCGAGCTTCGCCTGACCAGGTACCCAGTAACATTGTGTTTTTATACAACATATAACTCCACGTATTATCCAATTGAAATCTGTCAACATTCCATTCTTAATGGATGACGAGCATCAAAATTTTCAGTTACATGAATTTTAATTCTCCAGGACCGTATGGATGTTGGACGGATCTAGCAACACACTCCCCTTCCTCTACATCCAGCAACTCCAGATAATAAAAGTGAAGTTTGTATTAGAGATGGAAAGCACTTGATCTTATCCAGTTTGATTAGACGGCATAGGATCTATCTTGTAGACCTTCGCTTGTGTTCCGATACCAATCTCATCTCATCTATATTTGATGCTCTTAAAAACATACATCGTTTGGTTCTCTGAAAACAATGACTTTAAACGAAACGAAACGAAATGGGATTGGATAATTCCTCTAAAAATGAGATGAAAGCTACGATCTAGAGATGTGAAATTCAATAGCGTATACATCGAAGTCGACAGTATCAGTATCACTTATCATAACATAAGTGTGATGCTACCACTCGTAATCTTTCGGTTAATATTCCTGTTCCTTCCTCCCTTCTTGAGATGACACAGATTGGGATGAAGTGATATGAGGAGAGAAATCGTAGAGTTAGCATCTGGGAGGATGATTGAGTCGGGTAAAGAAGGTGTTTTTAATGGAGTACATAAAAGATAAGAAATAAGAGGTTTTCAGAAAAGTGACGAGATGCAGCATTTCTCATCCTGAATGGTCGTCATCCAAATCTCTCCTTCCAGCCAGTGAAAACACAACTTTTTTGTATAACAGCATTCAATCTATGATTTCACACCACACCTCAGCATTTCCAACCCACCCCCTTCCCCCCTTCAAATTCCCCATCAAATCCCCCATCAAATTCCCTATCAAATATCAATCAATCCAACAAACCATCCAAATCCTTTCCCCCTCTCACAAAGCCACACACGAAACACTAAACACTCTAATCTACTTCCCACTACTACTAATAAATAAATAAACAAAATACCCCCTGCCCCCCAAAAAAACTACCCACTACCAAACCCCCACTACCCCAAATCAAAGATTCCCCATCCATCCATCCAACAAACCATCCAACAAACCATCCATCCAAATCCTCCACCGAATCCCCCTTCCCCCCTCTCCCCTTCCTCCTCCCCAATACACACACAATACACCCACAGTACAACGCACAACCAACTCCCAATTATTCTACACAAGCCAATCAAATTCACAAACCAGATACTCCATCCATCCAAGATCCAGAAATTTCTGCATCTGTATCCCTCTCTAGAATGTAATTGTTTACCAATATCATATTCTCAGATTTCATTCCAACTGTCAAAGTTATTTCAAGAGATTTATATACAAAAAAAATAGAAAAAAAAGGAAGATCTGTTCAGAGCAAACAGTTTAAACAGAAAAAGACGAATCATCAATCAATCCATAATTTCTATATAAAAAAAACGCCAGTTACAACTGGTGGTATGGTATTATATGCACATAAAAACACTGTCCTCCCCCCTTCCATCCATCCCTTCCCTCCCATCAGACCCATCTCCTTTTGTCCAGTAGTCAGAGTCAAGACTCGCCTGCCCAACCATTCATTCATATCATCATCAATCAAGATCTAATCCTCCTCTGCCCATTCCTTTAACCCCGAGCCGACTTTCCATTCGTTCGCACGATTGCACAATCACACAATCACACACTAGCTCACAACCTCGTCACCTATTCCATATGCCCCTCATTAAGCACCATCTCCAACACAATCTGGTTCCCCACAATTTCCGGATGTGCCATTGCCAACTTCAACGTCCTATTCATAGCCCCTCCCGCGCCACCCATCGGATTCATAGTAGCCATAGAATTTGCGCCTGCTCCCTGAGGGTTTGTACCCGCATCAAGACATCTTACATCACTACCCGCAATAACCTGTCTCAATCTACCATTCTCTGCATTCCTCACTTCGACAAAATCGCTATCGAAGAGTACCAAGTAGGCGCCATACATAGCTGCCGTTTTAGCTCTTCCTACGAATTCCATGATGACGGATCGAGATACTTCGCCATGTTTATCGACATAGACACCACATTCCGCATAACATAGAAGGAACTCAGCATCAGAAAGCCTGAACATACCTAGAGGTCTTTGACCTTGGAGTCGAGCGGCTATGGATGCTATATTTTGATTTTTGGTATCTGGGATACTCATTGGTACTTTTTTGTCAAGGGTCAAGAGTTCAAATCCTTTTTGAGTCGAGATGGCAATGTAAGATTGGAAGAGATTGATGGTGAAGCATTCGGTTGGAATATAGAATTCGTCGAATTCACGGAAAAATTCAGTATTACCACCGAAACGTTTACCAAAAAGACGAGACTTTTTCTCCGAGGATTTTTGAACAACTGGCTCTAGAACTTTGAAGACGGAGTGAAGACTCTCCTTTTTCTTGTAAAAGACTAGGGTTCTTTCTTTCATACGAGCTGTA